GTGATAAGAGACCAACAACAGAGAATAAAAGCACTCCGATTAAGAGGAGAGGGGACTTATGCCGCAGCCCACTGGCAAAAGGTCGGTCTCTAGACTGCCATCCTGAGGGTAGGAGGAGCATGGATTATATAGCTTGTCACACGTGCACAGAAGCAGGTGACATACTGCTCCTCCCTAACTTGGTTGAAGACTACCAGGATGAGGTCTGCAGTGGCTCCAGGCAAAGTCACCGCAAAGGTCATCTGAAGCCATCATAGAAGCCCAGACAGTGGCCATGATGACCGGAGAGGTTCCACAGCTGATCTCTCTTCCAGTGTCAACAGCTGGATCAGAGCTTCCGGGGGCAGCCAGGGAGTTTTGTGGGGTTTGTTCCTTCATTTGTTGTTGTTAGTTGTGAGGCTTGAGCTCTGGGCCTGGGCGCTGTCCCTCAGCTCTTCAGCTCAAGGCGAGCGCTCTACCACTTGAGCCACAGCGCCACTTCCAGTTTTCTGGTGGTTCATTAGAGATGAGTCTCACAGACTTTCCTGCCCAGGTTGGCTTTGAGCCTCCATCCTCAGATCTCAGCCTCCCTGAGTAGCTAGGATTACAGGCATGAGCCACTGGTGCCTGGCCAACAGGGAGTTTTAAAACAGCTGTGATCGGGGCTGGGAAGGTGGCTCAGTGGTAGAGTGCTTGCCTTGCATGCATGAAGCCCTGGGTTTGATTCCTCAGTACCACATACACAGAAAAAGCCGGAAGTGGTACTGAAGGTCAAGTGGTAGATTGCTAGCCTTGAGCACATAGAGACTCAGGGACAGTGCTCAGGCCCTGAGTTCAAGCCCCAAGACTGGGCAAAACAACAAAAACTCCAGCTGTGATTGTCCTGGCGGCAGCTGGAAGAATGGCTGTCCCTTGGTCTCAACCTTCACATGTCGCAGTCATGTCATTCACAGTTCCCCTGGACTGACAATACTGGTTTCAACATCGCCTCTCCCCCTGCCCAGCCTGGGGCAGCCATTGTGTTTTGTTCTGGGCAGAGTCTTACCTCTGTCAATCAAATGGTCAAATAGCCCACAAAGAATAGCTTCCAGCACTTAAAAGGAAAAAAAAATGAAAGAATGCTTAGAAGAAAGATTATCAGCGGGACACTGGTGGCTCATGCCTGTAATCCTAGGTGTTAAGGAGGCTGAGAGTTAAGGATCCTATTTGAAGGCAGCCAGGCAGATGTCCAGGAGACTCTCATCTCCAATAAAGTACTCAGAAAAGGCTGGAAGTGGCACTGTGGCTCAAGTGGTAGAGCACTAGCCTTGAGCCAAAACAGCTCAGGGACAGCAATCTGGCCCTGAGTTCACACCCCAGGACCAGCGCGCGTGCACACACACGTGCACACACACACACACACACACACAGATTTCTCATAAAATTAGCATTCCTACCAGTATTTTAACTACCAGTAAGAAGTGGTCCTGCAGTTGGTCTTCAGTTATGCAATTCTCTAATAATCATTGAGAGTACACTTCAAATAGGTAAATTTTATGGCACGTTAATTATGCCCAAATAAAACTTTCTAAAGATAGAATACACAAGGTCAGGCACCAGTGGCTCACACCTGTAATCCTAGCTACTCAGGAGGCTGAAATCTCAGGATCATAGTTCAAAGCCAGCCCTGACAGGAAAAGTCCATGAGACTCTT